AATTAACATTAAGATATGAAAAATTCCATAACTTGAATGAGGGATTCCAAAGGACCTAAAAACGTTTCACAAGGTGTGGCGTGACCTCCCTGAGATCAGCAGCAGAGTGCAAAGATAAGTACTGGTTAGATAAACTTTCCATAAAAATTATCTCCTTGCCACAATACTCCTTTTGTCAAAGACTGAGACCACAACTTGAAAAGAAGAGAGATTCTAAGCATGCTTAGAATCTAAGGCACAATTAATGCAGGTCTTAACTATTAGACTAGGCTAAAACCACATCTCCAGAGGTGAAGGTAATAATAGGTAATAGTAGTCTGAGATGTAAAGTTGAATTCTTTTTGTTAGTCTAGTCTCTCTCCTCTCTATACATACATACATACATACATACATACATATGTATATAGTCTAGTCTAGTCTAGTCCTTTTTAAACATAGAAAGAGCATGCCAAGCCATGCCACTGAATATGGCATATGCTAGTTTAACATTTCATCACCAAAAATATGGCATATGCTAGTTTAACTATTATTGCAGATGACTTGAGTTATAAAATTTCAAGTTTTACATTACTCAAAGTGCTTTTCTAATTATTGCTTTTTTTTTAGTTACATTTGGTAGTTACTAAAAAGTAATCTTTTTGTTAGTGGGAAAGTTTGGCTTTTTTTTGCTCAGAACGAACAGTCTTTTGCTTTTTGACTTTTTTTATCCAAAAAGCAGCTTTTTTAGCTCATGCCAAACTGGTAATTAGTTAGTTTGTCTGATTTTTGGTTGGCAGAATGTTAATTCTTCCTGCATAAGTACATCACACTGATGTTTGGTTGCAGGAGTTTCAAGAGCTAGCAAAAAAACACTATTATAGGTTATCTAGGTGAACAGAACATTAAAATCGGCAAGCCGACTGACTTCTGTTGATGTAGATTGGTGTAGTGGACAATTCATTTATTGTGGATGCCAGAAGCTTGGGATTTTGGGGTGCTATTTTGCTATCATAATGCAAGCACCGGATTCTAATTGATCTTGTAGGTGAGTTTTTGGTGTAGGCTATGGATAAGAAATGATTACTAATATTTGGTACTTTCATGTTATGTTAATTGATTGGATCTTAATTATTATACACCAAGATAACTTGGTAGCGGAACTAATAAAGTACTATTGAAGTAAATGAATATTGTGCTCATCTTTTTCAATAGTTTACATTGCACCTTGTTTGGAGTAGTGGGAGCTAAAGAATCATGACTCTGTATGTGCTGATTGTTAGTTGATATTGATATTTTGTGTTTAGATTTTGTTCACAAACAAAAATCAAAGTTCTGTTCACAAACATTGTGTTTAGATTTTGTGTTTAGATTTTGTTCACAAACGGAAATCAAAGTTCAGAGGTCTGTATAGTGGATAATGAAACCAAGGAAAAATTGTGATGCTCTCTGGATAATAGCTCAATGGTCTCACAAGGAACACGATTGTGACCATGTCAACAATTTTTTCTTTTTTCTTTGTCACCAAGAAGATTTGGCGATGTGTTAATAAGAAGATTTGTTGACAATTCTGTGAATCCATTTTTTTTTCTTAATCTCCATCTCAGTAGTCTTCTTTGATTTTTAGAAGTTGTTGGCATGTGGTTTATACATTTTTGTTAAGTTTTTTGTATTTGAATGTTAAAATGATGCTAGTGTGAGTTTATTTATTTGTTTTAGATTAGTAGTGAATTTGAATTTGGTTGACATTTATGTAAATTTGGAATTCTGATGTGATTTGGTTGAATTAATATATATATATATATATATTTGTAATATTGTTTGATGTTGTATAGAGTAAGAAATGATTTTGTAATGATGTAAGGAATTGAATAGAACAGGTAAAATATACCAGGAGATATAGAAACAAGATAATGAATGTATATATATTAAAAATAATCTTCTACGGCATGCAAAATCATGCCATGAAAAGTATAGTGATTTATGGCAAGCAAAAAAAAAATATATCGTAAAATATTATATACGGCATACAAAATATGTCATAAATATATTATAAATAATCTTCTACGGCATGCAAAATTATGTCGTGAAAAGCATGATGATTTATAGCATGCAAAAAAATTTCGTAAAAGATTATATACGACATACAAAGTATGCCATAAATATATTAAAAATAACATTTTACGGCATGCAAAATTATGCTGTAAAAAGTATAATAATTTATGACATGCAAAAAAATGTCGTAAAAGATTATGTACGGCATACAAAGTATACCATAAATGTTTTTTTTACAACTTTACATGTATGTTGTAAATGACAATTACCTTTCCACGGCATGTTATATAACGGCATTTGTATGCATGCCGTGAAAGAGTTTTTACAGCATGCATTGCAAGTCTTAAAATTTTAATTTTGTTGTAGTGTATATGAAAGTAAATTTTAGTTTATAATTTTAATAATTATATGTGCAAGTAAACTTAAATAAAAAATTTGTTGATACTTATCATTTTATGAATAAAATTTTTTATTAAAATATATATATATATATATATATAAGAGGGGTCTCATTTTTATAGTTCGCATTAGGCCTCACAAATCTCAGGCTGGCCTGTGTACATTGCAAGCAAAATCAAAGGACTGAATTGAATCTATTAGATCACGAGCTTCAACTCATTTATAATTGTCCTATAATGTGATTTCAAACATGTATCACTAACCCATTTAGACTAGTTTCTTGATTTAAATCTCTACTCACAAACGAGTTCACCATTATTTAATGCTTCTGCAATTTTAACAACTTACTCACAAGCGAGTTCACTAGTGTTTAATGCTTCTGCAACTTTAACAACTTATAGGCGAGTTCACTAGTGTTTAATGCTTCTGCAACTTTAACAACTTGCTTATCTCTTCTTTTACAAGAGCCTCCAACAACATTCATTAAGTAGCAATAACAAAAGAGTTTAGCAATATCAATGTAACTTTTAGCAACATCTACAAGACTCAACAGATGTTGAAGAGCAAAATAATAAACATAAAATATGAATTCATTCTCTCTCAAAATTAAGGGTTAATTACCAGTCAATACTATTTAGTAGGCTTGAATATCTGTAAGTCCTAAGCATTTTTTAAACAATAATATTAGAAAAACTAATTAGTGTACCAATCAACACATTAACTAAATACAATATTAGATAGGACCATGTTAAATGGTGAAATCTACATGTGTGTCTTTTGTCTTAGTTATTGTGTTAGTTGGTATATGATTAGTGCCTAAATATACACATTTAATTCCTTAATATACACTTTATTAGTTTATTAATTTGTATTAATTTATAGTTTTGTGTAATTTTTGTGTGTTTGTATATATTTTAGATCTTTATACCTATATTAATGTAAATAATACTTTTTAAATATTTTATATATTATTATATTATAAAGTATACAGTAAATTACCGTGCACTTTACAAAAAAACGTAACAAAACAAAAGAAAAGAAAGGAAGAAGAAAGAAAAGAGAAAGAACAAAAATAAAAAATAATAATAACAAAAAATGCAAACAAAGGAGGTGGTGGTGGCTAATCACCCCACCCCCTCAATTATGCCTCCGTTTAGGAAGTGGGTTGGTTTTTTAGCTTTTTGACTTTTTGCTTATTTTAGCCTGGGCTATTTTAGCCTGGTTTGGGAAGGACTTTTTGGCTTTTTGAATTTTTTGACTTTTTTTTTTAGAGATGATTGTAATGATTATAGGTTGGATTTGATATTTTATTTTTGTGGCTAAAATAGCCTATTTTGTTTTTTGCGACTATTTTAGCCAAAAAAGTCTGGTTTTTTTCTTCCCAAACGGAGCCATATATAAATATATATGTTTTATTATAATATTACAAATACTTTGCCTATAAAAAGATGAGAAAGAGAAGAGAAGGAGAGGCAATAGGAGCTCAAGTGAGTAAAGAGGGCTTCGGTCCAAGGGATGAAGAGAGAAAGGAAAAAACAGATAATATTACAAAAATAATTAAAGATCACATTTCGACAAATGAAAATTTCACTTTATTGGAAGGGTAATTAAAAAAATTAGATTAATATTTTAATTATATTTAATATAATTGAGTATAATAATATTTATTTTTTATGTCACTTTTTAATTAAATGTAATTATATATATATTTTTAATAACACTTCCCATTAACGTATGATTGTGTATTGTGTATAAAATAAAATTTTCAATCTTGGCGCCAATTCTAGTGTCACCCACAAATAGAGGCACGATTCTTTCCCTTTCCAAACAAGATGGAATTTTCCAAAACACAGCACGACTCTTCCTTTCCAATTCTCTTTGCCTCTCTTTCTGACTCATTAGCCCTAATTCAGTTTTGTTAGGGTTATTTTGGGTAGTTGATTTTTAGTCATTTTTTTTTGGTTTGTAGTAAAAATAAAAAATTAGTTTTTTTGTCTTTTTTTTCATTTGAAAAGTTAGTTTTTAACCAACGATAAAATTATAATTTTATTTTCATAAGTCAAAATGTGTTACATAAGTGAAGTTGTAAATATTTTAAATAAATAAGAATAATTTAATAATTTTATTATGATTTGACGTCATAAATAAATATTAATTTAAAAAATCAAAATTTACTTTTTACCAACTCCATAGAACTTCTCAAATCATTTGTTCAAAAAAACCAAAAACTTAATTAAAAGGCAAAAAAACCGCTTTTTACCATCTTCTCGAAGCCTTAATCTGCCATCTCTGAAACCACCATCTCTGGTCTATGGAACCACCTCTCTCTCTCTCTCTCTCAAAAATACTCTCGCTTGCCTTTTCACGCACACGAGCACCTTCACCATCAGCAGCGTCCTTCGCAACCACACCCTTCACCGCGACTGCGACTAACACCGACGACTACGACTATCTATTAAGTTCTCTCTCTCTCACTCGTTTGTTGCTCTCACTCTGCCCCTTTCCCTCTCCTTCTAATTTTCAAAACCCTAACAAGTGATTTTTGAAGGCTAGGGTTGGTCAAGGTCGTCTATCTCCTATGTGATTTTGATTTTGATTCAATTTGTTCATTTCCAAGTTCTTTTTCTTTAATTTAATTAATGTGTAAATTATGCACACCACCTGTTTGCTAATATGCCTCTGAAAATAGAAAGTATAAAATCTGTTGGTGTCTCAACCATGAATAAAGAGGCATTCTCACTACCAGCCACCAACATTAAGCTATAAAATCTGGAATATAAATTTATACTCTGGGTCTAGTAACATATAATGAACCTTACCAAGCTTAAACAAAAGAAATATAATGCTGCTTTCAGAAGGTGTAGTATAGCCATCAGTTCAAGGTGGTGGTGATTATTAGGAAATTGTTGAGACATAGAAGGAGCTAGAATTGATTAGAAAGACCCATAAAATGTCTGCTATCTTCTTTGATAGTCAACTCATTAATTCCATTAGTCCTGTAAAAAAAATTTCCCTTTCTTTTTTTTTGTTTCTTATTGAAATAATATTGCAGTGTGCACCTTCTACCAGAAAGGAGTCTGTTCTTATGGAAGCCAATGCAGATATGAACATGTTAAAGTTTTTCGATCACAGTCCTCCACTGTATCTTCTTCCACAATTTCTCACCAATTTTTGGTTTCTGATTCAATTTTTGGTCTCATTCATTCTGTATATCTTGTATCAGGAATTGGCATGGCAGAGTAATTCCTCAACCTCTGGAATGGATGCCAACTTTACATTGATGGCATGCCCAATATGTAGAAAGGTTTCATACTTTGTCATTCCTAGTGTCATTTGGTATTCTACAAAAGAAGAAAAACAGGAAATTGTTGACAGCTACAAAGCAAAACACAGGTATAATTATGTGGGTCATGTACTTCTCTTGAAATGGTTATTAGTTCTCCAATTCTCTTAGATATAGGTTGTCTCAGGTTTGTTATAGTAGATTCTTTTATTAGTTTATTCTATAAAATTGCAATTATTGCTCTTTATAAGATTAGTTTTGATACGAGGATTGGGCACACATCCATAATAGTTAGTTACTCAATTCAAAACTATTAAAATATGATATTAATGTATGAGTTAGCTACTAGAAATGATTAGAGATGGGAATAAAGGGTTTGAAGCATGATGTTGTGGCATACAACACCATGATTGGTGGGTTTTGTAGAATTGGAGAGGTTGGAAGGGCTGAAGAGTTTTTTCGAGAAATGGGGTTGAGTGGTATGGAGAGTTCTTGTCTCACGTTTGAGCATCTCATTAATGGGTATTATAAGATTGGGGATGTAAGGCTTTGGTGTTTTTGAGAGTTGCAATGAGAAAACATGAGATTACATCGAAGAGGAAGAGTTAAGAGTTTCTAATAAAGGGATTATGTCAAGAGGGGAGGACAGAAGAAGCATTGAAGCTTCAGGCAGAGATGGTAGGGAAACGGTTTGAACCGAATTTGGAGATTTATAGCGCTTTTATTGAAGCAAATACAAAACAAGGGAATGATGAACTAGCAGGGATGTTAAAGAAGGAAATGCTAGAAACTCAAATGCCTAAGAAACAAGATTAGCTGATTTTATCCCTCAGCATTGTGAGGTACCTTTGTTTTGTGGTCAGATTGCTGCAATCTTAAATGTATGATTTTGTTTTATGTAACATGAATTAGTGTGCATTTTGAAAGTTTTGTTTTCTTGGCTTTGTACATAGTAGAAATTTGAGCCCTTGCCTAATCATTCCTTTGGAGAGAGGCGGGCAACACATCTTTCTTGACATACAGCTTGCTATATGGTGAAAATTATTTGGGGAGCTGGCGCAACTACCTTAAGTTGGATTTTGCTCCCAGATAAGTAAACACAAAACCTGGTGAAAGATGCAAAATTTAACTTTAGGGCTTTCCTTCCTCAAATGAAAGATTTTATGCAATTTTTTTTTTTTTTTTTTGTTTCCTATAAGTAACTCATCCCATTTGCATAATAACATGTATAGTATAACTAGGAATTATTAACACTTGATCAAAATTGGCTTACATTTTAGTAAATTGATGAATTTGTTTAATCCTTTTAGAGCAGATTTAACGGTTGATTGCTTGTTTTGAAATCCTCATTGTGATCCAAGTCAACCTTCCACTCAAAAGTAAAGAATGCTTTGTCATTCCATGTCTTTGATTTCATTGCCTACTCATTCCTCTTATAAAAGATGAGAATGCAACTTTCTTTCTGTATATATACTGGTAGATTTTTTTGTGGGTTCTATTCACAGAAGACATAACTACCTTAAATTGAAGTTTTGAACAGGTACTTCAAATTTAGCCTACTTTTGCAACCTCACTAGTTGATTTGTACTGCATTCCTATGAACATCACTATATGTTATTGTTCTACTCAGCCATGGAACTTTCTATATCAATTTGTTCAACAGTCCCTAAGGAAATGTTAATACCATTATCAAAAAATTTTTTTTGACACTTTGAAAACATATATATTGACTTTAGGAGCTTTTATGAGCATATATCCAAAATTTAGAAGAGGCTTTGAGATCTCAGAAATAAGATGATACTGTTATAGTTTTTTCGTCCTCTTTGTTATATAGTTCGATTGATAGATGTTCTACCTTTACTGATGATATTATATTTAGTTTTCATGTCCAGTTGTTTTCGGCAAAATGTCAATTTTTGGGTAAAGCTTCTTGCCATTGGTTGCTGATAGAGGGGAGGAGATTAGAAGTAAGTACTCAATACCATATTATTGTGACGGAGAGGATTTCATACCTTTTTTTGCTTTTTTTTTTTTTAAAAATTTTATTTTATTCAGTCACTCAATGAAATGCCAAATTGACTTGTAACAATTAGGATCTGTGAAGAATCAGAAGGTTAATCCTAGCCAACTCTTTACTACAAGTCTCAAAATTCATTGAACTCTTACCTAACAAAAAGAATAATTCAAATGAGAAGTTGTAAATGAAGAATAATTCAAAAGGTTAATAGAATAAAAATGTTAAATCTTACCAATCATCATTGCTTTTATTGTTTTTGACTTTCAGGTCGTGGCATTGGCCTTTTACTGAGAAGCAAGTAGTCACTCCAACAGGTGTGTTTTAGGAGAAAAATTAGTAGCAAGCCATGGACTCAATTCAAGTCTCTTCCTCTCTCTCTGATGAAATTTGGAATATAAGTAGACTACCTTTTTATCTCAAGTTTCCTTCAGTTCTCTGAATTTAAACTGAGAACTTTACATGCCTTCAATTTTTATTTGTTTGTGTTTTTT